TTCTATTTCTGGGACTCCTACATATTGTATGTTGGTTTACTTGAGGTGTCCCACAGATTCCTTAGGCTCTGTTCACTTTTCTTTAATCTTTTTTTCTTTCTGTTCCTCACACATGATAATATCCATCATTCTATCTTCAAGTTCACTATTCTTTCTTTTGTCTGCTCAAATCTGCCTTTGAATTCCTTTAGTAAATTTTAAAATTTCAGTTATTACATTTTACTTTTTAGCTCCAGAATTACTTTTACTGTTTTTATTAGATTTTCTATCTCTTTATTGATATTTCCATTTGTTCACACATTGTCTACTTGACTTTTTCCATGTCTTCCTTTAGTTCTTTTAGCATCTTTAAGACAGTTGTTTTAAAGTTTTTGCCTAGTAGATCTATGATCAGGTCTTTTTTTTTTTTTTTAGGGAAAATGTCTGTTCTTTTTTTTTTCCTTTTAATGAGCAATACTTTCTTATTTCTCTGTATGCTTTGTGATTTTATTGCTGAAAACTGAATTTGAATTGAATAATGTAATTCTGGAAATCAGATTCTCCCCATTTCCCCCAGTGTTTACATTTAAAAAAATTTTGTAGGCTATCTCTGTGCTGTGTGGATCAGCCTGAGGTCTAAACTTAAGGTATTTTCTGTTTTTTTTCTGAGCCTGTGACTTCCTCTGTGCACACACAGCGACTTTCTTATTTCCCCTGTGCATGTGGTTGTTTTTAAATGTCCCAGTCTTTAATGTCTGGCACCCAAGAGGGGAAAAGGAGAATAATAAAGAGGTAAAAAAAGGTGCCAGCCCTTTAAATCTGTTGGAAGTCACTTCAGCCAGAGGGAGAGGGGTTGTAACAATACAGGGAGGTGCAATGGCTGCCATTTCTTTGTCTATTTCTCTGATCAGAAACAGCAACCAGTGATCAGAGCACAGATCCCCGATTTTTAGAGGACAGGGTCCTTTTTGCCCAACCTGGCTCCTGCAAGTTTTGTGTAAATCAGAAATGTGTACAGCTGCCTGCCACGTGCTGAGGGGGTGAGGAATAGGTAGCTACTACTGTGCTATGAGACAAAATTGACAGAAATTAGCCACAATTTATCATCCGAGCCTTCATTTGGAAATTGCATACCTTCAATAAACTCCAGTTTCAAAACAGTGACATCGGACAGATTCTACTAGTGCAATTGTTGTCTAGGTGAAGAAACAGATTTCTGAAACTTCCTACCCTGCCATTTTCCCAGAATCCTCTTGACCATCACTTTTTTTGTTTTTTTTAAATAATTTCTGAGCAATAAGTTGTACAAGTAAAATCTACTTTTTAAGCTTCCCTAAAAACAGTGTGAATTTTGATTAAGGTGTATTAAATTAACTGATTATTTTATGTATGATTCATGTCTTAAAATGTTGATTCTCTATGGCATGGGTTGCAACTATTACTTGTGGGGCCAACACCTGGTTGGTGCCTGCTTTTGTAAACAATTTTTTTTTGGAACACAGCCATGTCTATTTATTTGTATGTTGTCTATAGTTGTTTTGGTGCTACAATTACAGAATTTAGTAGTTGTATCAGGGACCATTTGGCCCACATAATATAAAATATTTATCTTGTTACCTTTTATAGAAAATGTTTGTCAACTCCTGCAAACACGTATTAGGTAGAGTTTTTCAGTGTTTGCCACATGGGTGTTACCTATCTCATGTTAGGTTCATACTTAAGAATTTAGAGTTTTTAACTGTGATTATGAATAGAACATTTTTCTACATTTTTTTAATTAGGGAAAATTTTGTATATTGATTTTATTTCTTGATACCTTATCAAATTCTCTTATTAGTCCTACTGCTTTTAGGTTAATTCCCTAGGATGTTTAATTAAATAATCAACAAATAATAGAAGTTTTCTCCTCTTTCTAAAATTTCAATCTTTGAATTTCCTTTCGTTTTTCCTTGACTGACTAAGACCTCCAGCACAGCATTCAATACTGGGCCTGGCCATCATTCTGTTTCTGACTTTAACAGGAATGCTATTTAATGTTTTGCTGTTTAAGACAATGTTTACTGCTCACTTTTAATACATACTCTTTATCAAGGTAAGGACATTTCTTCTCTTATTAGCTTTCCAAGATTGTTTTGAACATTCTGAATGAGCGTTGAATTTTATTAAGTGGTTTTTTTCATCTCTGAATATGAGTCACCTAGCTATTTGGGGAGATAAAGCCTACTTGTGCGAAGTATATTATACATTTAATATACTACCAGATTCAGTTCACTACTATTATGCTCAGAAGTTTTATATATGTATTCAAAAGTATAACAGTTTTATTTTTTAATACTATTTCCAACTTTGGTGTCAAGTTGGTATTAATACTTCCAGAATAGGTTAGGACCATTTCTATCTTTTTATATGTCATGGTACCATTTATGTAACTTAGAAAAAGGAAATGTAGTCAATCCTAACCTTATAATTGCACATTCTCACAACTTATGGTTTATATAGAAAACATTATTTCAGTGTCACAGATAATTCCCATGAACATAGTGTAATTCCCACTGTAAGCAGGATAAAGAATAGATTCATCAAATTCTTAGTTTGGGAGCAAAGCAGAGGAAGGGGTGGACCCTCACTGTAGCAAAAATGGAAAGAGAAGTTGACCCTTGGGACTGCAAGAAGGAAACTGTCTATGATGGGTGCTTGTCTTTAGGTAACTGTTTTAAGTGAGATTTTCATATCTCAGGAATGGCCAAAATAGAAAGAGTCAAAAGTAGGCTTGAAGATCATGAATGACTGTATATCAGATAAATATATTTGCTCTGAAAATATTCTACCTTACCTTTTCAATTTCAGTACCTTCAACTTTATGAATAATTCCTTTTAACCTGAAAGCCTTAATAATTTCTTTAGCCATATTGAGCATGACATTAACCTCCTCTTTTGTTTTCATAGTGATAGCAATTTCTGGGTGATCACACTCTAAGTAGCCTGAAAATAATAAAATATTTTTAGGTGCAATAAGAACAATGTTTTAAATGTTTCATGTAGACAATGAGCTAATATTTCTGTTCTAAACTCATGGAGTGTCACCCTCAACATAGGGAAATGTGTCTTTTCCTGAAGAGGCAATTGCAATCAGTCATTATTCCCTAGCAGCACCAGAGTGCTGCCTGCCATTATCTTGGCAGCACTCATAATTGTGTCTAAGACCATGGAGAAGGATAGACAGCCCCAGTCCTAGGATTAACAGTCATACTGGTCCACCTGCACTGGACACTGGGAAGCTGCTCGGGCCTTTAATTCTGAAAGCATGACCCGCTTTCAAATTCTGTTTGAATTAGGATTTTTAGCTATAAACTGTGTGCTTACATATGGCTTATGATTAAGTTCTCTCACTCATCCTGGGTCATTGTCCACTCACCCTGCCAGTGTGTCTAGATGACTCATACATCTATGAGAAGCCTGTCTCATCTGTTGTGCCTGATGCCTATGACAATTTCATCCACTTAGATTTCACATTCGGGCATCTCCCTGATCATGACCTCTTATCTGGCTTGGTAACTATCTGCCATAGAAGATCTTTCATGCCTGACCTCATTTCCATGCTTGCTGTGTCCTTTTGCAGCCCACCATCTGGTATAAAACCCCTTTCTCCTCCTCACACGTGAACATTATACTGTGGGGGTGTGTCTGTTCCACTTGCAGAATGTGTCTTGCACCGAGGGGAGCATGAGCTGGCATGACTCAGAGAATAGGCTGTTGGCGTGTTTGGGCCTTGGGCCTCACAGTAGACCTAAAAGATCTATGAGACTCTATTTTGATTTCAACTCATTGCCAAGACCTAAATCTTTAAATGGCAGCTCTGTGGCAAGTGAAGGAAAAAAGTAACTTCTTTCTTAATGTCACCTAAGAAGATATATGTATTTCTGGTTTGGAAGAAAGAGTTCATAAAAGCTATAATGACATGCATAATCATGACATGCTAATTTGTCTAAACAGAAATTAAAAGGACTTCATTGTTGTAAAAGGCAGAGAGAACAAGTGTGGAGAGGTAATACTCTACTATTCCCATCTAATGAAAATAAGATCACATTGATTGTTGAAGTTATGCATTTCATTATTATTAGTGAGTGGGTTTCCTCTAAAGATTAGCTCTAGTTATAAAAACCAATGCCTTTCTGAAGTAGTGATCATAAGAGATGGTCATGCCGAATATTTAGGATGAGAGCTACTTACCTAGCTCCTTCATAGCATGTTCCATATTCTTTGTTACCCGCTTTAATAACATCTAAGGACCAAAAGAAATATTATCCCAATTGGAAAAACAGATTTTTATAAGATGTCATTTGCAACTGATAGATTTTTAACCTAAATTAATAACTTTAAAGAAATGGAGAGCTTTTCAGGGATTAGAATTGAATTTTGTGCTGCAGCACTCTTGGCTTCAGCAAGACTGGTGAGGAAGATAAGAAGTAGCATTACCTAGGAAGATTTTGAGAAGCCTGAATGTGAATCATATATTTTTACTGTAGGACACAATTGATTCTCAAAAACACACGCATCGTAGGTACTTTCAGCTTTATGAGAGCCTCAAAATTTGGGACATGAGGCTGGCTTGTGGGCACATATCAGTATTACTCTGTCTCAATATAGAAAAAATAAAAATAAAATCTAGAATTTAGGCCCTAGAACTGTCTTTTCTGCTTACTAGCTATGTGATTTTGGAGAGAATCATTTAACCTCTCTTGGTCTCATTTTTCTCATCTGCATAATGATGGAATCAGACCAGGATTCCCTCTGGATGAATTATTGTTTTCTTTACTTCTTTCTATTCACCAGATCACTTGTTTTTCTATTACTGTTTACTGTGGGGAAAACAAGGATAGGGTGAGATAGAAGGAGCTTTCCGGCATTATGAGGAAGCTCTGTTTGCTCAACACTGCCATCACTTCTCACCTTCCAATATTTCCTATTTAGTGCATCTGTCGCCTGACTGATCCTGGAGCTAGCGTCTGGAGGAAGTGGAGCATTGCGCATCGGTTTCATGATAGCCTCCACAAAGACAGAAAGGTGCCTTCCAAGAGCCTTGCAATTGCTAATGTGGCACAGACATTTTGGTGAGGAGGCATTTGAAGTAATTTAAATGTAGACTAGTTTAAGTACTTACAGAAATTAATTAGTAAACTAGGAGTCAAAAACCACATCTACATAAACAGAGAACGTGATGGGTGAGGGCAATTGAGGGGTAGGGAGATTGAACTCTTCTTAGTACTTAAGGTTTTCCTTACCTGTTTAACCTGGTTAGAGTTTGCAATCTGATCAATTATAGTCAGTACATCTGATTCACCTTGGACATATCCTTTTAGTATAGCATACCTAAAGGACAGATGATGACTCATCCTTTTATCTATTATTTGTAGCAACTTTGGTGTTATGAGCTGGAAAAAACAGGACTACTATTTAATATAAAATGTACAAATTCTATTTAATTATATGTTAATTAGCTTAACCAAAATAGATAATAAGAAAGTAACTGCCCTCAAAGGTAAATACAGTAACCTGTCAAGGTTCTTAGTTATTTTATTCATGGTATCTTTATAAGTTCATGACTACAGCTATTTCCCCTATGACTGATAATACTGGACACCTGTCTGAAGTTTATGACTTTATTCTTTATTTTCCTCGTAGAGGATTTGATGCTATTTTCAACTAATTTAAATTCTTGGAAAAATGTGATTAATCTTTTGGGCTTAGGTCACAAAATGTCTATATAAAGTACTGTCACCTTTACATGCTAAATCATCTACTAAACTTCTATTAGGTGGTTCCATCACAACCATACTGCCTGTTAGAACCCAAAACAAACTTCTCCCTCTCCTTGTTTCTCTGTTGAGTATTGAAATCTCTGGCTTATCTGTTACCACTGTGCAGTCCCCTAGCTTCAGCGGTTTGCTGTTCCCCTTGTTTCCTATCCATGCTTCACAACCTTCACACTCTACCCTCCAACCACGTGCCATTAATCCCCAAAGAGATTATACTCAGCTTTCAAGGTTCAGCTCAAGTATCACCTAATAAAGGAAGTCTTTTCTATCCCACCAGCATTCTGTGCATATTCCTGTTTTGCACTTATACTACCATATAACATTGGAATATCTGGATTACTTGTCATTTCTCTTCTACAATAAGCTGCCTAAGGGCAGAGACTATATTGAATTTGTCTTCATATTTCAAGGGCTTACCATTTGACATAAGATAAGGGTTCAGAGTTTCCTGATTATACAGACAAACAAACTTTTTTTAGGTCGTTTATCAGTTTCTTCATCTAAACTAATTAGTAGACTCTTGATATCTTCCTTTCAGGAAGACTTAATCAGTGTTTGGACTATACTAGATGTGCCTTCCTCAGGTCAAATTGCACCCTACCATTACTTACAGTTCCCTAGAATACTAAAAAATAAAGGAGCTAATGTTTGTATGCTTTTAGACCTAATTGCTTTATACCTCTCAGTAGCAAAATTATGTTTAAATGTATGTAAGAAAGATCTAAATGTATAGATTCTGTTAGCTTTATCTCTAGATGAACTGTCTTATTTAGCTTTGTATCTACCACAGTGCTTATATACCTGTGTGTCTTCTTTGTGTATGAATAGAGAAAAAGACAGAAGACAGGAGAGGGGGAGGAAAGGGGGAAAAGAGAGAGAGAGAAAGAGAGAGAGAATATTCTGTATTCACATATATACTTATATGTCTTGTGATGGAATGAGTTTTATGCCATTGAAATAATCATACAGAAAATATTCATCATACTTGTTATAGAAACATATATTAGACAATCAAAGGTCGTTTTTGATACCATGATTATATAATACTGTGAACTTATATAACGTGAAATGTGTATTTTTTTCTCAATTTGCATGAATTTGTGCTATTTGCTTTGTCGCTATGAATGATTTGCATAGTTGTTTGTTTTGTTGATTTCCATCTTTTGTTACCTAGGTATCTATAGAAATAAATATTACTTTGGGGTTAACTTGTATTTATATTAATGTGGAATTTCTCATGTGCTCTCTATTCAAAGAAAAAACTGTGATGAGTGTTTCTATACTTTCATGTGCTAAATGAATTTCTAATATAATTTGGGTATTTGTAACATAAAATGCTATAAAACTTATCAAAGGGAGGTAGAATTTAAAATATAAACATTAGCCCAACAGAAAGTGGTAGTCATAAAACTAGAAAACTGATTTTAGTCCGTATTTCATAAAAATCAGTGGGAATTTGAATTTGCATGATTTACTTGTTCTTTACCTTCAAAATGCGTAGTAAACGAAGAAGTTGAACAACTTTTATAAAGACCAATGTTTGAATCAAATCAACACTCTTATTAATGGCATTTATCTCAACAAGTATTATATCTATGATGACAATTAATGTAATTAGTAATTCAAATAAGTTCCAGGTATGTAAGAAAAAATCCTTCCTTATTGCTGTCATCTGTTGATTTAAAAAGAAATTACATTATCGTATTTGTTTTTTCTTTTATTACACCATTTCCCACAATAACTTAAAAATCACCAGTCAGCTTTTTCTCTCACCTATCTTAAGATTCTACATGTGTGAAATACCACCAGGAAACCCAAATCAAACAAACAAAACAAGTTCATCAATTCTATCTTGTAGTCAAGGAACACTCATAGGACTACCGATTTCGGATTGGGTATAAAGCACAGTTATAAATGAAGAGAAACAGATTTATATAATGACACTGGTAAAAGGTAGCAGCAATGGAAAGGCAGAAAATTCAAACAAAAACGTAGTGTGCCAGGTGTTTTTAATTTAAAACAAATACCCCTGAATACCACAATAATCATGAGTGTTATATTCCATTTTTTAGTATTATATGATTGATGTCCAAAATGGTGGTTCTGGGCCGGGCGTGGTGGCTCACGCCTGTAATCCTAGCACTCTGGGAGGCCGAGGCAGGCGGATTCTTTGAGCTCAGGAGTTCGAGACCAGCCTGAGCAAGAGCGAGACCCCGTCTCTACTAAAAATAGAAAGAAATTAATCGGACAACTAAAAATATATAGAAAAAAAAAATTAGCCGGGCATGGTGGCACATGACCGTAGTCCCAGCTACTCGGGAGGCTGAGGCAGAAGGATTTCTCGGGCCCAGGAGTGTGAGGTTGCTGTGAGCTAGGCTGACGCCACGGCACTCTAGCCCAGGCGACAGAGTGAGACTCTGTCTCAAAAAAAAAAAAAAAACAAAAAAAAAAAAACAAAATGGTGATTCTGAATAACGAAGAAAAAAATTAGATTATGTTTGGTTGTGATGCATGTGGGCGAGGTTTTTATTAAAGTAGCTCAAGATTTAAAGATGTATTTATTAAAAGGTTATGCTTTCTTCACTAAATTCACTTCTGTAACTTCATCTCGGGACAATGCAGAATAAAAGTCACTTTTAATTTCTCAAAAACTTCAGTAAAAGTAAATATTTTGTCAGAATTACCTTGGTAATTATACTAATCTTTTTCTTTATCTCAGTAAATATATTTGTTTGTAGAGCTACCATAAGGCTTCATCAACACATGCACATTCAAATAAATACATTTCAGAAGCTATTTATGTATGTTTCACTCCATAACCCATATGTTCCTACACCAGAGTGGAAATAGCTTATCAGAATGCTTTTAAACAGGTCAAGTAATGGCAGTCTTTTAAATAAGATAGTTATAAGTGGAGAAATTGCTTCTGTCATTTTTATTAAAGTAAACTTAGTTTTTAAAATTTTCTCCTTTACACATCTAGATAGCCAGTGAGGACAACTAGAGTATTTGTTGATTCTGACAACATTTTTTTTAGAATCCTTAAAAAAGGTGACTTTTTAGGAGCAACTCAAAAGGAAATAGGAAATTGAAACGTTTACAAATTTCCTACTACTAGGCATAAGACCGGATTAGAATACATAGTTCCCTTTCCTTGTGTTGGCTACATTAATTTGAAGGCATTAGTATTATAATTTCATCTGGATTCTGGAAATGAGAATTTCATTGCATCAAATCCATACCGGAAAAAGTGTTTCTGACAATTTTATCCAGGGCCTGCTCAAGGCCATCTGAAGACAGTTGATGTTTCTAGTTAAATATGAAATTTCTAGTATAATATGAATATTATGGAAGGAACTCATTTTTATAAGTTAAAGTGAAAATATATCTGAAAATTTTAGATCCTGTAACTGTATCCACATGTTTTGCCTCACTTAACTATTATCTAACAATTGATCTGCTAAATTTATAATACTGGAACAAGTAATTTTTAAATATTTCAGAATTGTGACCTGCTATGGTGGTTTAATATCATAACATCTTCCTTCCTAAATATAATGATTTGAATTTAGACATGTTAAATTAAAATATATACTCATACTAGTAAATGATAACGTTAATTTGGAATGAAATGGCTAAAATATTAAAGCATTTATTCTAAGGGAGAAGATATTCAAAATACCTATTATTTTATTTTAGTTCATTCAGTCAGTCCTTTATTTAAAAAAATGTTTATTGAAACTCTGCTATAGCTAAGAGAATGGAAGGTTTCAAAGATGATTGTAAATTCAAGCTTGGGAAATTGGGTTTTCAGTGGAATTCTAAAGGAAGAGTAGGTTTAGAGAAGATACATTTCTTTTGAATATGCTGCTTGAGATATTTGCACAGTATTTTGTCAGAGGGATCCGGTTAGCAGTTATCTACATGATCTGAGGCTCTGGATAAAATTTGAGCTGCAGATATGAATTTGGGAGTCATTAGATTATGAATGATAGTCGATGCCAGGAAAGTGGATGATACAGCATGGTCCATAAAACCCTTCATTATTTAATTTACATCTATGTCTCTTGTCTCATTTTCCATATCATCCACACTAATTTAACATCTCTTCAATCTTCACCCTGACCAAGCCATCCCTGAGCTCCAGTATTGGAAATGATGTTCCTTACATACCAGTATGCCACAGTGTGGCCTCTAAGTTTTCTCTTAGAGAAAACACTCACATACTCATTTTCATCTTTGATTCCTATACATTATTCAAAATTCAGCTCAAGTATCTCCCTCTCTTGAAAACCTTCCTTCTGTGACCCTACTGTTCTGTGTAAGAAACTCTGTTTATTCCCATAGCACTGTGTATTTCTTTATTATACTAAAGATACTGATTTGTAATTTTGATTAATGTGTAGTATCCTACCAGCCTGATTCCTTTACCCTCACTTCACTCTGATTCTAAGAAAGTGTAGGAGACAGACACATTCATGTCCATGGGATAATGTGTGATCCATTATAAATTAAGAAATTGCTATGCTTGTTTATAAACAGACTCCTGTATATTTAGTGATAGAGAGTTATTTCTCTTGAGACTGCTGGCATTTGGCCATGCTGAGGGAATTCAATGTCTGAATCTGGGAAGCAAAGGCTAAGATCCTGGTCTTGTGAGGTCCTGCTCAAGTCATCATTTAGCCTTTCTAGATGTTTCATTTTCTTCTTATTGAAGCAGAGTATTGGTTGGATTATTCTCTTAGGAACTTGAAAGAACTGGTTTAAAGAGTAAGACTTTATCTAGATACCAACAATTCATAAATGTATGGAATTATCTGGAGGTTACAGGAATACGGCCACAAGAAAGGGAAAGTCCAGTGTAAAAGGACAATGTAGGACTCAAAGGAGGAGGGTTTGTTGAGTGCAAGATTGTCAAAGAGTGGTTGGAAGCTCAGGTAATGCCACATTCTGGATCTCAGCTGCAGAAGAGTGATCAACATTCCCCTCATAAAGTTTCGAAAGACCCATTTGTCTAACAGAGTGAAGAGTGTTTTGGGAAAAGTTTGAAAATACAGGGAAGGGGCAGCACTGTGTGTTAGAAAGAACACGAACCTCGAGGGATCATATCCCAACTCTGATATTCATTAGCTATGTGATTTTAGACAAGAGACTCAGTTCCTGATCTGTAAAATGCAAGCATGATAGCAAGGTTAATTTAAGGATTTGAAATGTTATAAGGAAAATAAATGGTGCCTTGTAGGCAAAAAATTATTATTATTGTTATTAACATAATGGAGATTTTAAAAGACAAGGTAAAAATGGCAGAACTGAACTAAACAGAAAAGAGGGTAAAGCAAATGATAAGTAAATGTGAAGTTGCAAATTGGGCAGTGAGAATAAACCTTGAGTTAAGTCGGAGGTAGAGACAAGAACAGGGTTGTGACTTGGAAGTATCTTCTCAGCTATAAAGTGCAGTGCTATGTCTGTAGTACAGTACTGGTGTCTTAAGTGGGCCTGATTAGATGAAGCCCACTGTAGCTATGGCAGCAGCCCAACCTTGGCAAAGTACAAAGAATATTAGAGGGATCTCCTATTAGATCTAGAAGGATCTCAATCTGTCATTTAGGCCAACCCAGCCCAGAAAATTGAGGTTGGGAAAAGTTCAGTAACTTAGTCAACAGCTTACAGCTTGTCAGAGATAACCAAAACCAGAGCCAAAGTCTACTGAATCCCAGCTCAGTGCTCTTCCCACTATAGTGCATGTTAAATGATTTTAGGGGACTCTCACTCGCACCCACATGCTGTCACTAACCTTGATCTTAATTGCTTTATTTTCTCTTAATTCTATGAAACCTTCTATGGTCTTTTCAACTAGCTTAGAATTTATTACATACAATGTGATTGGATTTGAATTCATTTTTTTCCAATATCATGGCTCTGCAGTAGCATTTAAATTTCCCACTAAAGATCTGAGATTCATATTTTTGTCCAAATATCAGACATAATTCCTCTATTTAAATTTTCTTGCTAAAAATATTTTATATTACCACTTGTTAATCCATACAATGCAACACTACCGTCAATTTGTAGGTATACATTCCCATCATTTAACAGCTGCCTTTATATTTCAAAAATAAAATTGTGAAATTTTTCAAGTATAAAAGAATATCAAGCTACCCATCCATCTGTTTATTTATCTGGTATAAAAATCATAAAATGAACATTCATGTACTCACCACCCTGCTAAGTTTAAGACCATGCCAATGCCTTTTAAACTCACTGTTTCCCTTGGATACACACCATTTTGAAATTTATTTTTGCAAATACAAAATCAGTGCTTAAAGTATGCATATTTTCTATTGACTCATCCTGAAAATCACCTTCAAAAATTAAAGTTTGCTTTGAGAAGGGAAAATTTCTTACACTCGTTTAGAAAACCCTCTGTAGCTAGTGTTGAAAAATGAGGTTAGGAAATTTTCCTATTAGACATATAACACATTCATACACAAGTAAATTTTAGATTACCTTAAGTAGGCCCTCTAGAATATAAAATGTAAGAAAAATGTAGTTAGCACATCTTAATTCTTGGTCATAGATTTGACCTAAATCAGGTATCCAAAAGATTATAATGGGAAATATATTCAGTAGTATCACAAGGTATCCAACATACTCAAATTCAGCAGTAAATACTATTTTGTGACATACACGAAAAAGGAAATGCCTGTAAAACAAAAAGAGTTTTATCTGAAGATCTCCATATGTACTCAGTTCTGTTCTAATTAGTAATAGTCACAGAACCCTCCTTAATTCTGGAAGCAGCCACCACCAGCTAACACTTTGTGGCCTTCTGCTTCAAATACTGTCCTTTTAATTTCCTCCTCTGCTAAATGGCTTAAGTCTAGCTGCCCCTCTTTCTTTTTATCCTTCTTTTGCTCTCATTTACTTTTTCTATTACTTTTAACAGACATACTTTTGGTGGAAGACAGGAATAATTCAAACTAGAAATTTTTAAAAATAAAGACAATCCCTCTCACCTTCCAATAATTCCAATTCTTAGAGATGACTACTATTCATAGTTTGAATATTGTTATAAATTTTTTGTTTATAAAACCATTATCCATACACATAAAATAAGTTAAATTATACATATTTTTCTGTAACCTATTTCTTTTTTTCCTTTTAACAATGTATCATGAGTATCTTCCCTTTTCAAGACATAAAATTGGGAACAAAACCTAGGACACGTGGTATAGGAACATACGGATCCAAATTTTATCAAAAAATTTAAATTAATGTATATACTTTGAAAAATATTTTCATATTAAGTATGCTAGAGAGTGAAATATAGATGAAAGGATTTACTTTTTGTATTTTCAATTCTATTTTTTAATTATTCAAGTAGTATAATAATGCATTATTATTGTTAAAACTCAAAATGATATTATCAATCAATTACTGATTAAGATTGAGTATGAGATAATTTTCTACCATTCTCAGGGGTAGATTGGTGCTATGGGCCAAAAGCTTTTATACTTTGGGATCCTATTTGAGAAAAAGATGATGACATGATGAACGCAGAAATGTATGATCATGTGATCACATTGCTAGGGCCCTCCAAGCCTAGCAGCACCTGTGTGAGACAGAAGCTGTGGAGGGTGAGCCTTGTTAGCTTCGTGGTAACACCACCTCTGCCCTTCTTCAGTCCTTTCTCCAGACTGCTTTTCTTGATTTCTTCCAGCAGCAAAACCATATCTGGCACAGCACTGCACTTGTGGTTACTTTTGCTTAAGTTTATGGTTGAGCATCACCTGTCTTGTTTATGCCAGAGAGGTGAATTGAAGGGGATGTGATGGGCACTATTCATAATTCCTTTAAATCTTTAGTGTTTGTGTTAATTTCTTAATTCCTCGAGAGATGCTGTATTGCTTCTTACTATTTTGGTCATAGGTTCCACTTGGCTACTTGGCTGGTTCTGCCATAATAGTTTTTATTCTATAGGTCAGCAAATCAATGTGAGTGTTCAGTTAGATACTAAGTATATTAATCCCCCTTATACCCTCAGTGACTCAGAGAAATAACCACACAGTGGGCCTTCTGGACTCTGAGACAAACTGGGCCGGAAACTCCATGTATCTAGCCTAAAAGCACCAGTCTAATTAGAGGACCATGATAGCATTTCAGGCCTTTGGTATCAATATTGACCTCTTAAATGCCATATCCAAAAGCCATCAAAAAGTCTGGGTGTTCTCTTTCCCCCAATGCACAGCAGTGATAAAATGAGTAAAGGTCCATTTGAGAAAAGATTGAGGGATCATTTGTACTATGTCTTTGTGGTGTTGTTACCCATTCTTTCTCAAGGACTCTGGTTCTGACAACTGACCTAGATATACAGAGAAGGGCAAGAGATAATGATTTTCCTTTGCAGTAGCTGCTCTCATCCCTTTTGTCATGAGCTCTCTCTTTGGAAAAATAACACTCTAGTTAACCGTTCATCTATACCGCTCTTTGATATATATTATTTATTAGCCATCCTCAGATCAAGGCACCCCGTAGGTCAAAGCACACTGAATGCTACTCCAGGTTCTCTGTCCACAAAGTAAAGTATGCCCTTCTTGCATATGACATTTAAGTACTGCCATTTGTCTTCTGTCATTTCAAAATCCTATTTATCCTTTTGATAACTAGAGAGATCAATTTCATGGTAGCCTCTCCTACTGGCAACCTCACTGTCCCCCTCTGGAGGCCACGGTTGCCAGTAGGAAAGGCTACCACAAAATTGACCAGAAATTCACTGTCCCCCCCTCACTGAATTTCTCAGGGAGCTTCACTGTTGCCTTGGTGAATGGAAATGTCCTCTTAGTCTTCCCAGAGAACAAGGTCACATGGCTGGTTCTTCATTCTCACATAACAAATCCAACCAAACATTCCCATTTTTGTTACCTGAACTTCATTTACTGTAGGTTGTTGGCCTGGTCAAGTTTCAAAGAACCATCCCAGGAGTGTAATAGTACCCATGCCAAGTGTTTTTGACAGTGCCAAGACCTGAGTCATCATGGGTAAGACTATTCATGCCAATAAATTCTTCCCAATCTGGCCTTATGTTGCAACTTTCCTACGCAATACCCTCAAGATTCATTCCCTCATGCGTTCTACCAGTATTTACAGTCAGGTCCTGTAATTCCTGCAGTAGATAATCTATAGGCTCCTGAAGCAGGCACTGTATTTCCCTCTCCAGCTGTGTTGAGACCTGACTGGGTAATTCCCTAGAAACAATAAAAGGTGATGAAGACTAATCTTAAAAAAAAGGACAAGTATCATTTTGTGATGTCTCTGTGGCATCTGATGGTGATAGGAGGCTACTCTCCTCTGGCAGTGGGGAGGAGGTTGTCTTTGCCAGACCAGAGTGTTCATGAGAATCTGGGAGTTCAAGACCCTCAGGTCTGTCTACCCTAGTGTTTCCATTTCAGGTCTCATGGCCCCAATCTTTTTCTATCAGAGCTTTGACCTTGATACAAAAGCCCTGTCAATGCTATGCATTTATTTTCATTTGCATAGCTCTAGCTGCTTCCCCCAAAATTATATATACTATATTGATTTTACTATTTAATTTTGAATAATTTAAGTCGAATTTTTAATTTCAATAATTATATATATTTTTCCATTTTTCTATTCAGTTTCTTTTGGTGGTTGAACTTGCCATGTTTGTGATTCCATCATTTATTAACTTCAACATTTCAGTAATACTTACAGTTCATACTGAATAATTCTAATAACTGAAGTCTTAGAGATATAGACCTGTTGTTATTCCTACTGATTCTCATTCATGTTTGTTTCTTTGTGCGTCCACTGATCTTTGACAAGGACTTCATCTACTGGCTAGGGTACTTAATCTTGAATGGAATACTATTCAGCACTTAATAATAAATGCTAACATCTGGTAAGTGCTTATCCACTGCTAGTCCCTGAATTAAATGCTTCTATACTGTTTATGTAATCTTTACAATAATCCCATGAAGTAGGGAAAGGAGGAATCTAATTAGCATATTTTAGTACCGACTATGTGTCAGTTACTTTGACGTATGCTTTACATATATCAGTTAGTTTCCAGAATATGATGTAAATGTTACTGTACCAATTTTTCAAATAAGGAAACAGAAGCCTACAAAGATCACTCAGCTAATAAATGATGGAGCCTGTGATTCTAAACCAAGTCATCTGAATTCAGAATCTCTACTTCTACTTACTTTGGGATAATGATATTTAAAAGACAGCCTAAAGGATACATGGGTTGTCAGTAATAGTTTTTCAAATCTCCCTTTCTTACATCAACAGAAATAATTACTCAGAAAAGTTGTAGCTTCAGTCAGCATTGAAGGATTTTAAAGAATTATAATACAAAAATATCCTTTGGATATTTGAGTGTGGTGGATTAAATATACACACAAATTCTTTGCTATTCCTATTGAGAAGTGAGCTCTACATTTCTTCCCCCTGAATCTAACAAAAGAAATAAGAGGCATCCAAATTGCAAAGGAAGAAATGAAGTATTTCTATTTGTAGATGACATGATCCTATATACAGAAAACCCTAAAGAATCCACAAAAAAAATAATCTAGAATTAATATACAAAATCAGCAAAGTTTTAGGATATAAGCTTGATATATAAACATCAGTTATATTTCTACACACTAGGAATGAATGGTCTGAAAATGAAATTATAAAAACAATTCTATTTAAAATAACATAAAAAGAACAAAATACTTGGGATTAAATTTAACCTAAGATTTAAATTGTGAAAACTATAAAACATTACTGAAAGAAATAAAAGGTTTAAATAATGGAAAGATTCCATGTTCATGGATTGGAAGGCTTAATATTGCTAAGCTGATAATACTACCTGAAACAATCTACAGATTCAGTGCAATTCCTATGGAAATCTCAATGATATTTTTTGCAGAAATAGACAAGGTAATCTTAAAATTTATGTGAAATTGCAAGGGAATTCAGATAGCTAGAACAATCTTGAAAAAGAAAAATAAAGTTGAAGGACTCATACTTTCTTTTATCAAAATTTTCCAGCAGCAGTAGAAAACAATTTGGTGGTTCTTCAGGAAATTAAATGCAGAATTACCGTATGACCCAGCAATTTTATGCCTACGAGTATACCCAAAAGAATGAGAAGCAGGTATTCAAACAATTACTTGCACGTGAATGTGCATGGCAGCACTATTCAGAATAGCCAAAAGATGGAAACAACCCAAATGCCCATCAACTGATAAAGGGGTACACAAAATGTGGTATATCCGTACAATGTAAAATTATTCAGTTGTAAAAGGATTAAAGTATTGATACAGGCTACAAGGTTGATAAACCTTATATTAATACATTCTTCTTTAAGTAACTTTTTGTATGTATATAAGTAATTTAGTTGTAAACTACTTCAAAATATTTTACAAAGTATATAGGATATCATTTAAAAAAATAAAAAGGGAATTTCAAATGAATATAATTGAATTTCTCATAAGGTTCAAAATTACTTACCCTGATGGGACCCCATTTTCATTTTTAGTATTATATACCGAATTGAGCAGTATTTTTCTAATAATGGTAAGGAATTTTTTGCTTTCAGAATATTTCTTTAATGTCTCAATACTTATACATCTAAAAAAAAAAGAGAAAACTTTAAACATGCTTTAAACATTTTGAAGTAAGTTTAATGCAGTATTGCCAGAAATCAGGAAGACTATTTTGTGCAATGATGACTGGATATAAGATACTTTCATGGGAACAGTTCCAAGTCATGAAGTTGTAGACAAGAGTAGATATACAAACATCAAGTTAGGATGTAGCACTCATTCATTAAATAGAGAGTATTAAAATTTGGAGATACGTGATTTAAAACAGTAAAAAGTTCAAGGTTCAAGCAGAGAAAGCAAACAATGATTCAAATATTGGTATTCATATATATCTGGGTTTTCATGTTGGATCCCTCATTGTCTGGTGTGGCAATGAAGAAATTACCTCATTAACCTGTTTGCTCATCTACAAAATGGGGTAAAAATACCTATGTCAGTCTGGGATAATTAAATGAGAAATTACTAATATGTATAAAGCATCCAGCCTATCTCATACATATCCCCATCTCATTTATTTCACATTCAGGGCATCTAGAAAGGTTAAAATGACTATAAGAGAATTAAAATGGGAACTTAGAGAAGTCAGTGGTCATAAAAGCCCCAAAAGACATTTTGTTAGCATTTGTCCCAAGTTGTCTGTAAATCTCTACTGGCTTTTTTATTGAGATAGTTCAGATCAGTATATATGATTTGGTCTTATTTAACCAATTCCCTTGTTTTTTTTAACAAGGTATTCATCCTTGTTGATGAGATACTTATATTGTCATCGGAAGGAGGCTAGGTCTTTGCCCTTGGGTCTGAGGATCTATTGTGTAATGTGGCGTAATGGAAGAGCATTGAAAATCTAAGTTCAAAGGTTGACTTTTCCCTTCCTATTGATTATAATGTTTTCACATTAAAATTTGTGCAATTTCTTTAATACAGGGATACTAATGTAATTGAAAAGAATAAAACCATTCAATTCTTCGTGATTCAATGTAACAATGTCATAATTACGTGGGAAATCTTGAAATGAAATCAAATGAAGATTTGATTGATTCATAATTTAAAAAATATTTATTAAACATCTACTATGCTTGCTAAATGCTGGGGATGAACCATAAAAAAATACTGATCTCTGCCATCAAGGCTCCAGTGGACTGTGAGATAAAACATACAAAGAATACTTGTGGTAAAGTGTAGTAAGTGGAGCTGCAGAGATAGTAAATAACAGAGCACTCGATCCACAAAGTGGGGCATTGTATAGCCTTGTCATGATATCAATAAGTGTGCAATATTTTACAGCCCAAATTACTGAGTAATTCAGGCTCTTGAATTCCTATTTTACATGGACACAGTCACTGTTTAGACCTGAGTTAGGAAAACAGTATGATCTCTTTAACTGGAGAGTGAGGTAGCTTGGCTTTGAATTCTAGCTCCGTAATTTATTAGTCAAAATGACTCTGGGTAAATTATTTAACCTCTCTGTGCTTCACTTTCCTCACCTGCATCTTGAGGATAATGAGTACTTACCTCATAAAATTTTTATGAGGCAAAAATAGGTTAATACACGTAAAATGTTTAAAACTGTCTGCCACAGCACTCAATAAAAATAAATTATGCATTCAAAGCATTATTTCTTAGGCAATTACACAGGCCCGCAGCATAGGTCCTGTTTAAATCCTCCACTCTTACTCTCTTTAGACGTATCTTTCTTGCCACAGGACACCCAACACATGGGGCTACTTACAGGAGTGATCAGCAAATGGCAAAATCAACTCCAAGGCAGACCAGCAAAGAAGCAAGAACTGAATATAAGCACACTCAACAGAAAGTTCTCTAGGATTGGAAGACTATTTTGCTAATCTTAATATTCCTCACCATGCCTGGAATATAGCTTTGCACATATTGGCATAGCATTCAATATATGTCTCTTACATATATGAATAAAAATGTAGTATATTCCAAAATGTGCCTATAGTGTCCACTAAGAAAGAGTCCTTTCAATCCTTTGACCCCCCTGTCTGCCGTTGGCCTCCTTTTGGTATCCATTTGCTCTGGGTCTTCATAGGCATATGTTGCCTCTGCCTTCATGGAGGACTTAAGGAGGAAAAATCAAGGCAGGGGGCTGAACTACTCTGTGTTGTTTGTTTTCATATTAACCTCTCCTGGACAATATAGTGATGATGTATTTACTTGTGTCATTTAGTCATTCACTTAAAAACTTCCTCTGTACACTGCATGTGTCTTCTTGATACTATGCATTGTGTTGTTTCATGTCAATCAATTTGCCTAATCCTCTCTTTCAACTCCCTCAACTTTACTCAGGTCACCTAAGCATTGGCAGGACCTGATCAAATGGAGATTTGGACAAATGGAGATTTTTGTACCATAAGTGGAGATATTTGAACATTATATATCAAGAAAACAACATTTTAAATAGGACACGTTTCATTTTCCTACCCTAACACACATAACATCATCGTAATTTGCATGGCTAGCCTTAAAATGAGAACTCTTACACTCTGAATTTCTGTACTTGAAATACAGTGAGAACACGCCCTCATTTCTGGCTGCTGCTTTTCTCACACCCAGCTTTACCCTTCAATGCACCACAAGCTTGTATGTGTAAGTGGACACAAGGCTGGTGCATCACTTAGGTTTAGGAGTGTGTAAAAGGCCCAGTTTGCTCATGGCATGATGGATCAGAGGGAGAGGCCCAAGTAGACTCTGAAATGAATTTGGGACAATTTCAACTGGGATTTTTGGTGTCTTTGGCACTAGAACTTGCCCCTGGCTCTCGACCTAGAAGGTATGTCTGGGCTCTGGGTGGACGTTGTTGCAGCTGCATTGTAGTTTAACTCTCCTTCTGTCCAGTCATGGCTCCTTCATTCCTCTACAGAGTGATCCAAGGGCACTCTCCATCCAATACACCAACTTGGAGGGACTCGCTGCTTACTGGGGAGACCTATGTCTAAAGAAATCACTGCAAGATTACATGGTATACTGAGCAATAAGAGAGGATGCATGAAATACTACCTGTGATTTAGGAAGATGTGCCTGGAGGGATTAAGGAAGGATTTGCCCTTATTTAGGCATTCAAATAGTCTAAAAGGAAGAGTTGTTTACCACAGTTTAGCTTTGGATGGGGCGGGGGCAGGGGAAAGCAAAAAAAGAAAGAGAAGAACGTTCCAATCAGAAGGAGCAGCTTGTCCAAATGCACAAACTGAATGAATAAAGAAAGTTTAGGAAACTGAAAATAGATGATCTGGCCTAGTGTGGGGTACGGGGCAGGCAGCAGCTTACACACATAATACTGGATGCACCCAAGTTACCAGACAGAAGCAAGAAAACTCACTTGTGTAATTTCCTAAATGCACTGGCTTAGGATAGAATCCTTCTCTTGAAAAGATACTTACTCTCCCTTCTCACCAAAACTTCCTGCTGCACCTACCAACACCTGGACTGCGCTCTGGGTCAGAATCTCATTCCTGTATTGTCTCTGGTAGCTTGCCTAAAAGAAATGTTGATTCAAGTCATTATATAGCATGAATAACAATGACAATTTATTACCACCTTTATGGAAAAATAATATGTGAGAAAGAAGTCAAGATACTCAAATAATCTAGCATCTTTATAAAAAGAATCATTCTATGGAGTCCAGCCTATGGGATTAGTGTAGAAGTTAGGTCTGGGCTTTGGATAGAGCCAAACTGGTTCCAAAGAGAACTGGGCCCCTGCTAAATATTAATTAGGTTTCCAAAAAGAAATGGAACTTAGTGACAACTAAGTCTGGGAACTGCAGACTTATCCTCATCTCAAAAGTTTATAATGCATATTAATATTAAAAGTTCTGAGAAATCCTACATTAAATAAATCTGGATTTACATCTTTATTTAGTTCCATTTTACCAAATAGTTCCACAACATAACTCTGCTGTCCCATCCATT